AGTCTGATACTGAATATCTTTGTATTTGGCTTATTTCAATGCAGTTTTGATACGATACAGTACAATATTTTTTAAAGCGATATGCGTTATATTGGATTCTTGATCAAGTCCATCAAAAAAGTCATACAGAATCATTTAATGCATGAACATCATAAAAACTAAATGTATTATAACCCCATTTCAAAGTTCATGCCTCAAAATCATTACAAATATTACTTCAAATGGAAACTTAATGACTGTGAAATCAACATGTTAAAATAAGATTATCTACAGGTAACTCTTGATGGCTCGAACTTCCATCTCTCGAAGTTCTTGATCGCTCGAAGTGAGTCTCCGATTTTTTCCCCTATATAACTAAGCAAATTTACTCTTGATTTCTCGAACTCTTGATCTCACGAAACCCTTGATCCCTCGAAGTCAAAATGCAGTCCCGCTATGCATATTCTATTGAAATTTACCCTCGATACCTCGAAGTGACTATGTGTATACAAATTTACCTAATTAGCAACTTTACCTGGACATTTAAAAGCCCCAGGCAGAAGACGTGGGTCTCGTGAAACGGGATGTTTATTCAGATGACACTAATACTGCAAGGTGATAATTGATTTATAATTAATCTTATGATGCCTATATGCTATTAAAATAATTATCATTGACTGTATTACGATAATTTAAAAACGCAGTGTAACTGAAAAATTGTGTTTGCAGATTACAAGACGACACACATAATTAATTTTTATTTCGAATCAGTGTCAAAGTTTAACGAAATATGAAAATTCAGAAACAGCCTCAACATCAATATAACGACTATTGTTGGACAAATACTTACAGAACTTAGTTCAATGCACGTGTTTGGAAAAGTCACAATGCTATGTACCACCGCGGCGACGCTGGTAAAATGTATTCATTTAATGAATGCGAAGTATATGATGTGCGTATGATAAAGAATAAATAAATAAACATGAACTGACAATGTACAGTTTTTGCTTTACTCAGTTTAATAAACATTCATCTAAAATAAGAAAACATAACATTGTTTTATAAAAACCACGTTTGAAATGTTAGCACTGCATGAAAATCATTACATCCGGTAAGACTAATTTTAAAATCTCTCAAATAAACCCGGAAAATTCTGGACTCTTGAAAACTCGAACTCTTGATCTCTCAAAGTTTTTCCACGGTCCCGCAGACTTCGAGGTATTGAAAGTTACCTGTATGTATTTTGTAATAATTATATAAAATGTGCTATTTCAGTAATGATTATATAATTATTGGTCAGTTTTAATTCAAAAAAGTTAAATATAATCTTTAGTGATTGAATTTTCCATCATTTTCACAGAATTAAAAGAAAAAATGTCTGCCCAATACGTATTGGAAATTAAGTTTCAATATGATATGATTCTTGAATATCCGCTATTTTCCGACTACAATTGATATATTGATACAGCCCTACTGATTGAAAGAATTCAAGAGCTCAGGGCTACCTTTCCCAGAGCAAATGGAAAGAATCAGTGCCAAAGTAACTGATCTAGAAAGTGATGTAATGTAGAAGTAATTCATCAATGTTATACTAGAAACAAGAAAAGTGAAATGACACCACGAAAAAGTTTATTGCCACTACCTGAGCAAGTTGAATTCAGGATTGCCAATAATTAATACTCCAAACTAAATCTTGGTAAGAATGCATACCTAAAAACCTCTTTTTATTGTTGAAAGCATTTTACGTTTAAGAGTGAAATATAATTATATGAAAGGGAACTCCCAGAAACAACCACACAAAATGAATTAAACTAGAAGTACTTTGAGCATAGAGCTCACTATATGATACCCCCTGCCTCATATATCATTAAAATGACAAAGTCCATGTTTGGCTCTGGGAGACCCATATAAGAGTCAGTTCTTTATTCAGTAGTAAAGGGGGATTTGCGGATAAGAGATGGCACCCTTCAATATCATTGAAAAAATTGCAGTGTAGTAGGGCTGGGGCGATACAACTTTTTCTATATCAATACGTAACACGATATTTGAGCCACGATACGATATGTATCACGATATGTTTAATTGCTTATAAAATCTTTCTTTTGCATTGAAATAAACAAATTATTTCTTTACAAATAATAATTTATTGAAAATAGTTGTTTATATGTTGTAAAACAAAAATATTTTACTGAAGTGGTGTTCATTATTATTTATTTCATATCTGTATATATATGTTTATATTTAGCTTATTTATTTTATATGTTAAATAGTGATTCAGCGATAGTCGCCGACGATCGAAAAATCGTCGTTGGAAGCTTGGCGATGCCGACAATCGATAGCTTAACAGCAAAATCGATTGTCGCTATATGTATAGCTACTTGAAACATATAGTGCTAAATCTTAATATAAATTATCTTTTTTCGTGTAGTGTACCTTTTTTTCTTTTGTACAAAGATGATACTTTGATTATTTTTATGCATCTTCCATGCATGTGCACACAAGTTCCCAATCGCCGTCTGACTAAACAGCTAGAGCATTTAAATGTGTCAATGAATAATTCGTAAACATGCTTTGAAAGTCACAATTATTGATAACTCTAAATAAAATTCCCTTCCATTAATGCAAGACATCATTCACACATTCACACAGGCAGCAAAAGAACTGAGGACGAAATAAAGCCATAAGAGCACAAAAATCGTCTTTTAACCTGAATTTCCTCTGCTCTCACATGAAACGATATTTTCTACTTTCCACTCGCATTTTGTGTATTGCTTTTTTACAGTTTAAATATTAAGAGTTCAGTGGGAAGTTAAACACAAAGCTACTGTTTTTTATTATATATAACGAATTCAAAAGATTTTAGTATGTTATTTTTATTGTGCATATACCCACTCAAATGTGAACATTTTTGAAGGTAGACAACTAAGTTTTGTTTCTTTTCTTTTTCTATAGGAATAAAATTTTAATGAAATTATGTTCTCTTAAAAATAAAGAAAACTTTAATCAATATTTTAAACTGTTCAATGGTTTAATTATAAACATGATAGATGTTATTAAAAAAAAAATGAAAGACAATTGCCTATCAAGTTTATATCAGTTTAATAATTAAATATTATTAAAATTGTTTTTCTTTGATATTAAAACAAGTGTAATTATCCTTTCCTTTAATAATGATAGAAAATCAGCAGATTCATTAAAACTGAAATATTGGCCTACGTGTTGCTAATTCTTATCAACAACACAATACTGGGCCTTTCATGATCTAAAAAAAAAAACATGAGAAATGTCCGATTATTTTCGATTATGAATCGAAATGGTGCGTCCGATTCGATTCGATAATCGATAGTATTTTTCCTCCGATTCTGAAACACTAATGTTAAACCCCAAATGTTGAATAAACAAAGAAAAACAGAAATCAAGATTTTTTTGGCGATATTTCAATATTTCTTTATATGTATCGATATGCGTAGCATCCTCAAATATATCTCGATATATCAATATCTTAATATGTGACAGCCCTACAGTATAGTATCAATAAAACATTGGGAATGGGAAACCTGAAATATGTTTCTGGTGAAAAAAATAGATTAGGAAATGTACAATGGCACTTGGTAACAAAGATTTTGTGAAAGTCTAATAAAGTTCACTCAGTGATATAAGAGGAGTTGCGGATAGATGGGTACCCCAAAGCGTAATGGACGGACATCTTGATCACTATATACCCTCCCGCTTTTCAAGCAGGGGTTATAATGAAAGTGCCGTATTATAAGTATGTGATAGTGTGATACATATTAAAGATGTTGATACCAATTTTTGGTTCAATTTTAATAAGTCTTAACACACAAATAGACTTTACTTAAATATGTATCAGTTTCTGATTTTTACATGATATTCCCATGGTTGCTAAAAAAGGAATTTCTTTGAAACCATTTCAAAACACTGCTCTTCTGACAGTTCTGGTCCTTTTCAGCAAGACTTGGTTCACAAGAAGACTTCACAATATTTATCTTTCTAAAAGTGCACACTAGTGTCATTGTAAATCTTCCTAATGAGTAAAAAAAAAACTACCTTTTGTAGCGAGTAAAAAGATGGGAAAAAATTTGTTTTATAATACAATCTAATGTGGTTTTAAAGCTAATCTGGTCAAGGCTACTAGATATAAGACAGGTCAAGTATAAAAATGTTATTAAAAGTAGCCTTATTACTAATACTTGAAGAAAAATTCATTGTTGAGCACTGTATTTTTGTAGGTCACAGAATTGAGGAGATCCCAGAGGTCCCCTTGGTGGTGAGTGATAAAGTAGAGGAGTTCAAAAAGACAAAGGAAGCTGTCGCTCTCCTAAAAAGATTGAAAGCATGGAGTGATATTCAGAAGGTAAAATAAATAAACATTGAATGAAATCCCCTACACACATTATATTCTAGTTCACTTTTACATAAGATTAAGGTGTCCCAGGTCAAAATTTCAAGAGCAGTTCCATTCCCCAAAAATTACGACTTAATCTGGACCAGAGTTACATAGATGCTGCATCTATCTATGCGCTGTACTAAATAACATGCTTAAGCTTTTTTTTTCTTTTCTTGGTTTACGATCTCGCTGACCTATTTTTCCCTATTTACAAAAATAAAAATAATGTGTCTGACTCTAGAAACTGGACTCTTAATGAAATTTTAAATGCAAATGACAGCTTTTTTATAATTTACAACACAGATTGTCAAACCACATGGCGGGACAGCACAAGGACCAACCTAGGGGCGAGCCGCTTAACAGTACTGTTTCTGTACTATTAATGACCAATGCATCGAATACTCCGTCGCAACCTCTCAGATTTCTACACCTCCGGGATGAAAAAGTCCATCGTTACAAGTTATACACAAGACGCAAAACAGCTGGACAGCTATCGATGTCATGCCAAAGATGTTGGAGAAGATTTTATATCTTTTTTGATTGTCACATGATTAATTCATGCTGTGAATACAGACATATTTTTACTGTTAAATTGTGAAGTTATTAATTTCTTAAGAAGTCACACATCGGATCCAGAAACATAAGTGTAGTTCAATCGGTATGGTAGAGTGCGTCAAAACTTTTATTAGAAAATGAATTCTATATTTAAAACAAAGTTTGAAGAGAAATTAACAAAATTATGACTATGCCATAAGTCTGGAAATCTAATGAGAAGTCTGGAAATCTAATGAGAAGAGAAATTTTAGAAGTTTAAGGTTGTGCTACTATGTAAGAAATGAAATGTTTGATAAACAATTTATCTGATAAAGAAACTTTTACATTTTAATTGTGACACGATAGCGGTGTTTTTCTTTGAAGTTTATTGTTCTGTATTAGCAATACAGAACGGGACTGTGGTGGGCGGAGCTACTTTCCGTTCTGCATTAGCCTTGTTTACAGCATTGCATTTGCCAACTATTCTGTATCTAAAATACAGCACGGTCTAAAAATAAATCTGATTCAATTTAGCAAAGCTAGCACGTACACAAATACTGATGTTTTCCTATTATTAATTTTTTAACAAATACCCGGTATTTTCCTGAGAATGTAGATGTTAAAATTTCTAAATCACTTTTTAAAACTTATTCCACACAGAATCTACACGTAATTTCGATCGAAAGTAAAAAGAAAAATCGCAATAACGGAAAACATCCTCTGTACCTAATTTTCAACAATCCACACGAAACGGAAAATTCGCTATCACGGAAAAAATCCTTCTCGCTGACGACAGCCACACGTCTCTTTCACTTCATTTTAATGTCGCAATTCAATTTGAAAATAAAAATCCGTGACATCAAAGTCCATCGAAGAATTTTCTGTAAATCCTGTTTTTGTAAATCTAGTTAAACCGGGATTTTAGGATCCCTGAAATAAATTATGATAAATCTCCATCTACAATTATAACAATAGATCCCAACAATTACGGTTAAATCCTCCAATTTCCATTAAGACTAGACTATCACTCGATTACGTCTACCCCCTTAAATTGTCAAAACATATCTGACCGAATTTTACGTTTTCCGTGGAAATATATATACTGCGGATTCGTACTCCCCGTCGGGGCCTCATCTACAGAACTCTGGCGGAAGTTTGGACGCTGCAAAGTTATAAAGTGGGCGGAGCTATTTTTGATTGATCGTGTCACAAATTGGTTCAACTGAACAGTTATCTATCGTAGATACAAATTTGGGGGCGGAGACTCGTACTTGACACTCGTCTGCCCCCAATTTCTATCTACGATACAGAACCTGTTGGTCTCTAAATAATACTTGTAGTACACATAGTAGTAAATTTTATTTAATGTCAATGTTGTTTTATTAATTTTTTCTAGATATTTATATACCTTGTAATTGGGGGAAATTTCTTTTAAGATTCTTTTTCTCTTATTAAATCATTTTACATACAATGTTTATACAGAAAAATTATTGAAATGTTTGTAATTCATAAACAATGAAATAGTTTTATAACGATTAATGTGTGCCACATACGCTCCAAGAAATCTCCCTAAATTTCAAAACTTCTCCCTAAATTTCTTTGATGGAGATATATGTCTCCTTAAATTTTGGGTCTTGGTTAATAAATTATTGGTCCCTGGACACACATATCTTAAGGTAAAAGTTTGTTGTGAAAGCAGTCCATGACTTTCAGAGTTTCCAAAACCTTTTTCATATGTGGAAAGGTTGACCAAAAGAGAATAGCAGATTCACTTAATTTTACCCTTGCAATGTGTCTATTATGGAAACATGGACTTGAAAGTCAGAAGAATGAAAACCATGAACAGTAACAAGGCATCTGCATACATTTCAATGCTACTGGAGAAAAAAATATGTCAAGGTTCCAAATTATTTTTATTTTTATTTTTCGACCGCCCAACGCATATTTTTGTGTCAAAAAATCGTAAACCAAAAAAAATAAAAACTTTGGCCTTAGGATGCTGCATCTAATCTATATTTTATGGCTGACTAAAATGATAAGTCTTGAAAGCAGGTCCAGTTTCAAATGGCTATAAATCCTACTTGCATATGCATGAATGCACAGTTTTATACTAATTTAATTTTTGGCCAATAATTTGTCAATAAGAGTTGACTTAATGCTGTCAGTTGATTATGATCTTCAACACTAGCAGTTCCTAATAAATAGTAGGTTCATGTAGCTGCTAATGATGATTTGCCTTTGGTCCGTGTTTCTGACTACCTGTGATCACAACTAAGGCATTATTAGTCTGAACTTGGCAGATATTTTTATTGGATAATTCGTTGTTACTTTCATGTAAAAAAAAAAAAAAAAAAATTGATGCATTTAAACTAGCTTGTCAAAAGTCATGTTACATTCTAATTTCTACAATAAAGCAATTGCTTTTTATAGAATAGCATGTCTTATAGATCATTGTTTACTCATGTTTTTCATTTCCGAGATTCTAGAGTTAAGATATACACTGTATGTTAATTCAATGAAAATATCATCCTTGACAAAAGCACCTGCTAATTAGTTGAATGATATCAATCCAGTCAAAACTCTTGGAAATAAGAGACCCAACTTTTGATGTCACCTATACTGTATCAGGGGTTCAAAATTCCTCAAGCCCGACGTCCCGGACTAACAAATTCCGGATCCGGACTCGGCATTTAGAATTCGCGAAAGTCCTGGGACTTGGCTATGTTTCTTGTTTATCTTTTTTTTTTAAGTTAAAAAAAATGATCGTAAAGCTAAAAATAAAGCAAATTCTCAACTGTATTAAGTAAAAATGTGGGTTTGTGGGCGTTAAAATACCCATAAAACATTACGAACGTTTCGAAAATACAATCCGTCTTTTTATTTTCCGTTGCGGTTAGACTCTTTCTTTTACGCAATTCCTCATGTTTCCTCCTACATACAAACGGCAATGAGTTTGTTAAATTTCGGTTTTACCAGCAGTAATGCTAAAAAAGGAACGACAGTCAATGAATCATAGCTGTGACTTACAGCACATTCTAATTTCTATTTATTGTAACAGATGGTTTATTCAGTTGTGAGTATTTGTAAAAGTTATTGTAATGTACCAATAATCTATCAGTGTTAAAATATTCATGTATGACTATATGACAGTTTATGGAGGAAAAATAAAACATATATTAATGCATGTAGTCTCATTCAATGCAATAAATGAAAATAAATTATAAGTAACATAAATTTAATGATGTATAGGTACATGTAAATATGGACTCTGAAATTTCTTCCTCGGACTTGCCTAAAATTTACTCTTTAAGTCCTGGACTTGACCATGACAAAAAAAAATTTGAACCCCTGCTGTATAAAAGGAATATGAAGAGCAGTGGATCAGAATCCCTTGGCGAGTGAAAATGCTTTCATTGAAGACATTTAAAATGTACATTGTTTCTTTTAGGTGTACAAATCCAAACGATTTAGAGCTGGCAAAGGTAAAATGAGGAACAGACGAAGAATTCAGAAGAGAGGCCCCCTTGTTATATACAACTCTGATAATGGAATCTGTAGGGCATTCAGAAATATCCCTGGTAAGATTTCCTTTAAAATCCTTTAAAGGAAGTTTATTTGAAGTAGAGAGCACAGCTGCTAATGATGAATTGCCTTTGGTCTGTGTTTCTGAAAAACTGTGATCACAACATAGGCATCTGTATTCTGAACTTGCCAGCTTTTATACATAGGCAGTTACTTCTAAATTCATAATTTTGTTTTCATAAAGAACGTATTTTTCAGGCATAACCCTCATAAATGTATCTCGCCTAAACCTACTAAAGATTGCTCCTGGTGGTCATGTAGGAAGATTCTGTATCTGGACTGAGTCAGCTTTCAGTAAATTGGATAAATTGTATGGTACATGGAAGAAACTGGCTGCAGAGAAAAAGATTACAAGTAAGCCAGTCTGTTAAGAGCATTCCTTTTGCAATTTTATTTTGATTTTGTTCAAAAATGGAAATTTGTTCAGTATTTTGGGTATTTTAGGTCACTTGTACCTGAGTCAGAGGCCTAAAGGTTTTCTGATCAAATATGTTCTCTGTTTTCCCTATTTTATCTCCTCCTGCAAAACCACAAGGTTCTTGCTTTTACAAAACTTGCCACAAAGCATCTCTGGGTGAATAGAATTCAAGTCCATTCAAATGAAGACCCAAACCCTCTGGAAAGTACCTCATTGTGAAGTCACAGTGAAATGATATGAATTAATAATGAAACTTCCAACTTCATAAAAAAAAAAGACTTAGCCAATTTTCAACTTGTAATTTGTCCCAGTCACAAGGACATTGCGTCCTAAAATAGTTTGTTTAAAAAAACTGATTTTAGTTGTTTTGAAATAGAAAGTGATTGTTCCATTTTTTTATTTCAGCTTACCTAAACCCAAGATGACCAATTCAGATTTAACAAGATTATTAAAGAGTGATGAAATTCAGTCTGCTTTACGGTTACCCAAGTAAGATTTATTAAAAGATATATTTTATATATGACTTTGAACAGTGGAATTGTATGCTGTAAAGATTAGAAAGCATTTCAGAGTTGATGAAAAATTTCTTTCAACAGAAGAGACAATAACAGAAGGAGAGTTCTTAAGAAGAATCCTTTGAAGAATCCTCGCGTGATGAACCATCTGAATCCATACAGTAAAGTGATGAGGAAAGCTGCTCAGAATGTGGAAGCCACTCGCAAGGCTGCCCGTCAGGCTAAGCTGGATGCTAAGCGCGGGGTAAGACATAAAGATGAGGACAGTTTTATAGGTTATGATCAGTTCAGGGAAATCCCTATTGTATTGCTGATGAGGAAGAAAAAGCTTTCCTATTTTTATGAGGAAAAAGCACGTCAGACTGAGGCAATGGTTTTCTGATTTGTTTTATTGGTGAATTTCAAAACTCAAAAGTTAATTTTTATCAAAAGTAGAGTAGATTTTGTTGAAATGAATTCAAGTAATGTATGAGAGAAAATGAGTGGAGTATAAAAAATAAAAGGTGATGAAAATTGACAGCTCCAAACAACATACAATAAACAGATATTGAAAGCTGTCAAAATACAGAAATCATATATCAAGTGTTTACACAGCTGTCTTTGCTTTTCCATCTGTTAGGATTTTCATGTCCAGCTGCTTTGTATCAAACTGTGACTGGCCAAGGACCATCAAACCCTATCTGTTGAAAGGATGAGAAAATTATGCTAAACAATACATGAATATCACATAGTAGGGTTATAAAACCTTTTAACCACAAATATTATTTTACTCTTTCATTGTGTAGCAAACAAGGAAAGCTCTTCCATGTTTTTAGCTCACCTGAGCCAAAGGCCCAAGTGAGCTTTTCTGATCACATTTTGTCTGTCGTCCGTCCGTCTTTAAACTTTTCACCTTTTTATATGCCCATCTTAAGACGGGACATATTATGTTATAGGCTTCGTGTCCATCCGTCTGTCTGTTAGCTTTTTCGTTTCCGGCTCATAACTTTAATACTATTAGGCCTTGGATTATCAAACTTTGTCATCTGATGCTTCTTGGGTAGAAGGTGTGTCGCGCACAAAAAGTAGGTCGCTCTGACCTTTCATTAAGAAGTTATAGCCAAATATGGAAAAATCCTTTCCGGCCCATAACTAGAAAACTATAAGACTAACAATCATCAAACTTGGCCAGTTTATGCATCTTAGGTAGAACATATTATGGTGTGTCCATCCGTCTGTCGTTAGCTTTTTCTTTCCGGCTCATAATTTCAAGGATTATCAAACTTTGTCATCTGATGCTTCTTGGGTAGAAGGTGTGTGACCTTTAAGAAGTTATAGCCAAATATGGAAAAATCCTTTCCGGCCCATAACTAGAAAACTATAAGACTAACAATCATCAAACTTGGCCAGTTTATGCATCTTAGGTAGAAGGTGTGTCGCGACCTATTTCAAGGTCACTGTGACCTTTAATTTAAGTGAAATTAAAAAAAAAAAGTGTCTTTTTACCATTCATTTAAGCATCCCAAATAATGTAAGAGTATTGCTCTCTTCTTATTAAAAAAGTGTTAAATCAAGAAAATACTTATTTTTTTAAGCATATACTTGACAGCAATCTATAACAAATATAATGTATGTTAGAGAAATCCTACCTCTCCCTTGAGTGTAATTATCAAGCACTGGTCAAGAAGAATTTTGATAACAGAAAATTGCATGTCAAATTAGAGAGAAATTAATGAGTTTTGAGTGTGAGGATCTAACTGATAGAACATCAGTGTTATCTACATCCCTTGGGTATTGGGCAGATGGGTAAGCCTGTTGGATTAAAAGTAGCTCTTGTTGGCTAGCCTAAGTTTTAAAATGAATTTGATGAAAAGTAATTAAAACTAATTTGATATTGCATAATAGACTAATCTGATATTATATAATATTATTAATTTAAATTCTAATTTTAAGGGGTGGGGTGGAATCAGCATTTCCATATGAATTACATATTAAAACCTGTCGGACATTAAATCTCAACCAAAAAAATCGTTGAATATTTTATATGTTTAGAAAAAAATTTATGGTAGATAGTGCAGGCCCATTCATCTCTTGGTAGTAATGAGTAGACAAGTATCCAGTTAAAGATTAATTAATGAGTTTAATGTAGGAAGGCTAGCTGATCAAGCGGCTTATCTGTATCCTTTGGGGATTAGACAAAAGAAGTGCAGGTCAGTTTATAGCATATGTCATTTGATGGCCAGGCCTTTTCTTTCAAAATTAATTTGGTATAGATGAAGATGTTACGACTAATTTGATATTGTTTAATATGATGGGCATTTGACATTAGGTCTAACACAACCAGCATAGAAATCTATTAATGATGTAATATTTATTATAATTAATGCCTAGATAACAGGAAATGGATAAATATTTGAAGGAATGGAAAAATCATGGAAATCTTGGAATCAAGGATGACGTGATTTTCTTGCACACTAAAATGTTCAAGAAAATTGTATTTTTTTTGACGGGCGTATCATGCTGTGGCGCGGCACTTTATTGACTTCTTCTCAAGAACCACTGGGCCAATTTTAACCAAACTTGGTACAAAGCATCCTTGGGTGAAAGGGAGTTTAAATTGTTAAAATAAAGGACCATGTCCTTTCACATGGGTAGATAATCAAGAAAGCCAAAAATAGGGTGGGGTCATAAAAAAAATCTTCTCAAGAACCACTGGGCCAGGAAAGCTGAAACTTATGTGGAAGAATCCTGGGGTGGTGTAGATTCTAAATTATAAATATCATGACCCCCGGGGGTAGGGCAGGGCCACAATGGGGAATCAAAAGTTTTACATAGAAATATATAGGAAAAATCTTTAAAAATCATTTTCTGAAGAACCACTGAACCAGAAAAGCTGAAACTTATGTGGAAGCATCCCGGGGTAGTGTAGATTCTAAATTGGTCAAATCATGACCCCTGAGTGTAGGGCGGGGCCACAATAGAGAATCAAAGTTTTACATAGAAATAATCTTTAAAAGTCTTCTTCTCAAGAACCACTGGACCAGAACAGCTGAAACTTATATGGAAGCATTCTTGGATAGTGTAGATTCTAGATTATAAAAAATCATGACCCCTTTGGGTAGGGAGGAGCCACAGTAGGGAATCCAAGTTTTACATAGAATTATTTAGGAAAAAATCTTCTTCTCAAGAACCACTGGACCAGAAAAGCTGAAACTTATGTGGAAACATGCTGGGGTAGTGTAGATTTTAAATTGTCCAAATTATGACCTGGGGGGTAGGGTGGGGTCACAATATGTATTGGGCCAAAATAAAAAATACTCTTGTTTCCTGTCACCCGACCTACCCTACATTTTACCCTCCGACCCTAAAAGTTTTTATCACATTTTTATTTTTTGGGTGACTATTTTCCTGAAATACTAAAGTCGACCAACAATATTCAAAGAACTAATACATCACAAGTGTACAGGATACCTTTACTTTATAAAGAAACTTGCTCTGTAAACTGTTAACATATTGGTTTCTTGTTATTACATGCTATATGTTTTGCATTCATTGAGTTTTGGAAATAAAATTTTTTCTCAAAATAAATTTTTTTCCCTACCTACCTACCCTAATTTTTTTGGTCAGGGGACAGGAAACAAGAGTATTTTTTCTTTTGGCCTTACTAGTAGGGCTGGGCAAAAATATCGATATTTCAATATATTGCAATACAGCGACTAAAAATAGCGTATTGCAATACGATTTTGTATTATCGATATATTGGCAATATGCCCAGATTAAGGAATTTTATCATTAAATATAAAAATTGACTTATGAAAGGTTTGTTATTAAGCCAAACAGTAAGACAGAAGCTGTTTTGTGGGAGTATTTCAGAGCATAACTGAAATGAAATCAACAAGATTTTTTTTCTGTGTTGGTTACTTATCATAGTTACATGTATTTACATTCTGCACGTAAATTAAAGTATTAAAGTAAATATAGTAGGAAAATGCCATTTTAATTACATTTAAAATATTGCAATACATATCGCAATACAGTTAAAAATATGGCAATACGAAATCTCGGGCCAATACCCAGCCTTAATTACTAGTGGGAAATCTGGTAAAGAATAGCATGGTCAAAGCTACTCAAGTGAGCGATGTGGCCCATGGGCCTCTTGTTTTCTACTCCAGGGTTCTAGACAACTTCAACTATGTTAAAATTACAGTTCAAATTTGGCGATTTTTTTCCACTCATTGGGAAAGTTTCAATTGGGAAAAAAACAGAAGAACAAAGGAGAATTTTCTCTCATTTAATCAAACGAAACGTATTTTGCATTTATTCCAACTTAATTGCCTATTACTCTGTGTTTTAACGAATAAGCAACAAGAACTTACTATTTTTTATATCAATGTCCCATGTTTTCACATTTTCATGCTTTCAATTTGTCAAAATGTAGGACACTACATGCTGTTTGCACCACAGGTCCGCCAAATTACGACTTTTAGCTCACCTCAGCCGAAGGCTCAAGTGAGCTTTTCTGATCAAAATTTGTCCGTTGTCTGTCGTTGTCGCTGTTGCCGTTGTCGTCATCGTAAGCTTTTCACATTTTCATCTTTTTCTTAAGAAGCAATGGGCCAATTTCAACCAAACTTGCCACAAAGTATCCTTGGGTGAAGGGAATTCAAGTTTGTTCAAATGAAGGACCAAGCCCTCTTTCAAGGAGAAATAATTATGAATTAATGAAATATTATTGCCATTTTTAAAAAAATCTTCTTCTCAAGAACCACTGGGCCAGGAAAGATGAAACTCATGTGGAATCATCCTCAGGAAGTGTTGTTTCAAGTTTGCTCAAATCATGACCCCTGGGAGTAGGGTGGGGCCAAATTGGCTGATCAAAATTTTACACAGGAATATATAGGGAAAATCTTGAAAAATCTTCTTCTCAAGAACCACTGGGCCAGGAAAGATGAAACTCATGTGGAATCATCCTCAGGTAGTATAGATTCAAGTTTGTTCAAATCATGACCCTCAGGGGATGGGTGGGGCCAAAATGGCCAATCAATGTTTTACGTAGGAGTATATAGGAAAATCATTAAATATCTTCTTCTCAAGAACCACTGGGCCAGGAAAGATGAAACTCATCTGGAATTATCCTCAGGTAGTGTAGATTCAAATTTGTTCAATTCATGACCCCCGGGGGTCGGGTGGAGCCAAAATGGCCGATCAAAGTTTTACATAGGAATATATTTAAAAAAATCTTTAAAAATCTTCTTCTGGCCGTTA